ATGTTCGTCCTCAGAATCTGGATCAACTTGAACAGGCCTTAAGGAGAGAATGGCAGAACATTCCACAACAGACGCTTGATAGGCTTATCTGGTCAATGCCAAGACGTGTAGAAGCTTGCATTCAAGCCAATGGTGGACATACACATTACTGAACATTGGATCATTGTTTCAAAATGACTTAAACTCAAATTTAAAGATTTCATCCTCAGTACAGCACATTTTGCACGACTGTTTTCATGATACTGTTTTTGATCATTTGTAAACCTGTTAGGCATAAACGCTTTTCAGTTCCCTTTGAGGACAATGTGTGTTTGTGCTCTTTCTTTGTATTGCTTTAGTCAGTTTTTAGGTATTGGAATATATGAACATGGACTGACACATAATAGATTTGTTGCTTAACTTTTTGTGAGGAGTATACATTAACGAATGCATTTTTTAATCTTGAAGTGAGCCAACAGTACAGATTGATCCTTTTCACTCTTGCTCTAATCAATCAACTCAGCCACCTTGCTCAACGTCATGTCACATAATGAAAAAGATCAACATTTTTGTTCAGGGCCACAGCAATAAGCCCAAATAATTAACTCGGTGTTTTCGTTTTGGCTGCACTCTCTTCACGTTTAAGCAGTTATCCGTTCTAGATTGCAATCTTGTGATGGTTGGTTTGATATAGTGAGTGAGTATGGTTCTACGTCGCTTTTAGCAATATTCCAGCAATATCATGGCGGGGGACACCACAAATGGGCTTCACACATTGTACCTATCTGACCGCCCCGGTTTGATAAAGAGACCAATGTATTTGTAAAATGGGTTCACATGAATGTACACGGTTGATAACAAAGATGAAATTTGAATGACATTCCAACGCACGTATACACTCACTATTGTTAAATACGAAATATAAATATAGATGCAAAGCAGCAAGGGCGGGCTCCAAGCTATACTGTACACAAACGTCCATGTTCGAATCCTCAAAGGGTTTCCTTGTACCAAATCCCTCAAATGTAGGCACCACTTGCAGGGTATGGCTGCTACGAAATTGTTGTGAGCAGGGGTGGTGTCCAAGTATGTTCTTAACCCATTTCCGACCTTGATCATGTTCGAATCCTCAAAGGGTTGCTTGTACTCCGTCCAAACAATGTCACCGGACATCGCCTCTTCGAAATTGGCTCGTTCCAGGAGTGTCCCAAATATATATCAAATATTACCACCAAGCAGTATGCAACCAAGAACAAACAATAAGCTGCATATGGCACACTAACTTCATGTAAACTTTCAATAGTTTCTGTGGAGAACCTTACAAAATATGATCTTTAAAGTAAAATTTCGGTGAAAAAAATCATCAAAATCAAAATCCAATAGGTCCGTCGATATAAAAGATATCCAAAATCAGCTAACAGAGTGTGATGTGGTATGTATGAAGACAATTCTCAGAAAGTTTGAAAGCATTTCATGCAATGGATTCAGGGGAGTATGCATTTAAATACCCAAAAGACACTGTGAAAACCTTTAATCTAATATGGCTGCCAAACCACGTGACCAATGACCAAAGTCAAAGAACAAAAAAATGTCAAGCACCCAAAGCAGCAGACACATCTAAAGTTTAAAAGTAATCGGACAAGCGGTTGCGAAGCAATAGGGCAAAATATAGGTTTAAAAATTGCTTGTTTTTCAGTTATCTGCCCTTGGTCTTTGGGCCTACGGCCTTTGAATTTGTGTGGTTTCTGGTACTTAAGTATCTGGATATACATACAACATTTGAACCGAATCAAGGCAGTGGTTATTATGCTAGCTCTGGTACAAAAATCGGCGGAATAATGATAATATTAAATCGAACGATAACACTGGGACTCTTCAGGTTTTCGGCTTGGTGACTCTTTAACAGGCTGTAACTTCTTTGTCAGTTGAGCTCCAGTCAAATGGATGAGCATTCCGAGTTCGTCAGGGCCCCGGGTTTCTGTCGCATTGCTGAGATAAAGTGTTAAACCTGTTTCCGACCGCGTCCGTATTCGAATCCCCAAAGGGTTTACCTGTACCAACGCCGTCAAATGTAAGGAACCGCTTATGAGACATCACAACCACGAACTTGACATGTGCTTGGGTGTCCCATGGTGTTTTAACCAATTTCCGACTTCGACCATGTTCGAATCCTCAAATGGTTTGCTTGTACCAACGCCGTCAAATGTAAGGAACCGCTTATGAGACATCACAACCACGAACTTGACATGTGCTTGGGTGTCCCATGGTGTTTTAACCAATTTCCGACTTCGACCATGTTCGAATCCTCAAATGGTTTGCTTGTACCAATGCCGTCAAATGTAATGAACCGCTTGCGAGACATCGCCGCTACGAAACTGACGTGTCCCAGAATGTCCTAGGATGTTCTGAACCCATTTCAGACACTGTCCATGTTCGAATCCTCAAAGGGTTTGCTTGTACCAACTCCGTCAAATGTAGGCAGCGGTTGCAGACATCACCATTACGGCATTTGCATGTGCCCGGGTGTCCAAGGCCATATCCAACCTCAAATCCTCATGTGCAAATCCTCAAAGGGTTTGCTTCTAACAATGCAATCAAAAGTAAGGTACGGTAGCATTTGGCAATTGGGAAATAAAGTACCAAGTCGGGGAGCCTGACCACCCGATACCGATAATCGCCTCTTCAGACAAGTATGGGTTGCTGAAGACCAATTCTAATCCTCATCTTCAAGGGTAGTATACATTGTGCAGAAGACACGTGACAGTGAAAGGGAGATAACCCTAAGTTATCTGAGCTCTTTCTGTGAAAAGAAATCATCAAAATCAAAATCCAATAGAGCCGTCACTTAGAAAGATATCCAAAAAAGGCTAACAGTGTTTGATGTGTTATGTATGTAGACAATTCTCGGAAAGTGTGGAGGTGTTTTTGTATGCAGTGGATCCAGAGGAGATAGCATTTGAAGACATGTACACAATGAAAATCTTAAATCAAATATTACCACTAAACGGTGATACTTTAACCATGCAAACCGAACAGAAAATGAGGTCCATATGGTACACTAACTTCATGCAAACTTTCAATGGTTTCTGTGAAGAACCTTACAAGATATTATCTTTTAAAGTAAAATTTATGAGAGAGAAATGATCAAAATCAAAATCCAATATTGCCACAACTAAAAACGATATCCAAAATCCAAAATGGCTGCCAAACCACGTGACCAATGACCAAAGTTTAAGAATATGAAAAGTCAAGCACCTAAAGCTGCAGACACATGCAAAGTTTAAAAGTAATCGTACAAGCGGTTCTCGAGCAATAGGGCAAATTATACATTCCAAAACTTTAGTTATCTGCCCTTGGTCCTTGGGCCTACGTCCTTGGAATTTTGTTGGATACTATTTTGGTGAAATGGGCATCTTGTGTGTTCAAGACTGGTTTACCATGGTTTTACAAGTTGACTTTGTTGTCTTCGAACTCGGGTGCAGGATCTGATACTTGGGCCGGTGTCATAGATATTCTAAGACGTTCGGTTTAGTTGCTGACACGATATATACTGTACCAGTGGGGCTTCCACGAGTCCAAATTTTTGGACTCGAGTACCCGAGTGGTGAAACTCGACTCGTACTCGAGTACCCGAAAACAGGACGTCCTTTAAGAATATTGGTTCATTACATCAAAATTGCCATCTAAAAGTATTAAAACATGTTATAAGTATAATTGCACTGCACTGAAATGTAAATAGAGAGCGTCCAAGGAACTTGTTTATCTGTCAAAGTGTATGGAAGTGTTCAGTGTTAATGTTTGCTTTTAACTGCACTAATCTTAATCACGACCTTCAAAAACATTACGTCACGTCTACAAATACTACAATACATATTGAACATTTTTCTGATGATCAGCGTTTCATTCGTCACCTGCCAACAAGCACGAACAATAATTCGCAGGAAGAAAATCGATAATGTGCATCACGTGACATGCACGTACACACAGCTACTGGGCTGCAAGACTAAGGCCGCTAAATATGGAAATGAAGTACTATACGTTCCTTCATTCATGAATTGGTCACGTTTTCAAACTGTACCAAACTGTCGACCTGTCGCTTGATCTGTAAGCACTGAAATAGCACATATATATCAGCTAATCAGTTGTTCATCTGTGTAAGGGAATACACTTGGCATTTGAGTGGGAGCAAAGAAGCAATAATCGCCTTCATACATTCAATTTCTTAAAGTCGGGAAGGAAAAACAATAATTACGTCTATTTTATGTGACATTCTCAATTGTTCTAATGTACATCTACTTTCTACAAAGAATACATTATTCAAACAATATTTTTTGAAGCTTTAATCAATATATTGATGAACAACTGACAATTGAAACAGAGTGATCTCCCCTTATCGAGTACTCGAGTCCTTGATAACGGACTCGAGTCCCAGTAAAACCGACCCGGCCCCGAGTACTCGTTGAAGACCTATGTACCAGTATTGATTGATATCATGAGCATCGATGTACGCAATTGGGCTCGATGACATTCATCAACCAAGTCAGCGAGCCTGACCTCCTGATCCCGTTAGTCGCCTCTTACGACAAGCATAGTCGCCTTTTTACGGCAAGCATGGTTTGCTGAAGACCTATTGTACCCCGGATCTTCACGGGTCCATCATACTAACCATAGCTTTTACTAAATAACCTTTCAGATGAATGGAATTCATTTGAAAATCCAAGACAAATATAACAAAATATCAATATACATGTATCTACTAATAATTAGGTTTTTGAACCTATGAATTACTTTCGTTCGATAATCCGAATTTTGATTCAACCAAATACAAATTTTCCTATTTTCATATTGTATGACTTCAATGACACAACACTTCGCATGAGCTATTTTAGTCTGCATTCAGAGCAGATCCTTTCTACGAAGCCTGTCGGCTCAGGTACACGGTCACATTGACATTGTCGCCACCACATTGCCAGGTGTGCTCCCGACAACGCATATAAAGTCAATATTATTATACATTACGCGTTTCTTGCCATGACAAAGGGATACTAGTATACACATCACAACTGAACACGGCTGTTGGGGGTAGATGAATTTTACCAAGACGTCATTGACAAACAAATTCAAGTATTTTACATGTGAGGTAAGATAATGTTTCTTAAGCTAGGACTACCCAGAATATATTTATCTGTCTCGGTTCACGGAGGACAATAAACGCGTTATGACATGAGCTAGCCACTTTTCATAGACAAGGTTCGTGGCTCCGTGCACAAACCCTTTGTGCAGCAGAGAGTCGGTAGAATAGCTCCAATCGACTTTACGTGGTATATTTCTAAAAATAGGCGCGTTTCTCGGAACATCTCGTGGATGGTGACTTGTGGCTGTAAAATATTCTTATTCCCAGATCAGTGGCTGCAAGATCAACAGCAAAGTAAAGCCATCGGCGACAGTTATTTATAAGAACCTGTCCTTGTTTAAGACATGTTAAGGAACAAAAGGACCGAGGATAGTTTAAAAGGTGAAAACCTTCTTTTCAAAGAGTAATAAGTAATCAGACACCGTCATACAGGTGGAAGACCACGAGCTTCACGTGGACCTGATTGTCATCTCTCTGATGTCCCCAACACTGGCGAGTGAGTTTACTTTACGTGGTACGTTCCAGGAAAAGGCCCGTTTCTCGGAACTTCTTGTGTATGGTTCATTGTGGCATATTCTTATTTCCAGAATACAAAGGCTTCTAGACCAGCAGTAAATTGACACACCATCTCCGAAAGTTAGCCATAGGAATTTGGAACTTGTTTTCGACACTTCTGTCACCAAAATGTCTGAGTCACGTTTAAAAGAGGCGAAAACATTCTTCACAGAGGGGAATAAGAAATCAGACGCCGTCATACAGGTGAAAGACCACGAGCTTCACGTGGACCTGAATATAATCTCTCTGATGTCCCCGACATTGGCGAGTGAGTTCCAGCCACGCCCGGACCCCCTGTCTCCCCCTAGCGAAACCAACAAAGCCGTGGCCAAGTTGGACGGACGTGTTGACCACATTGTGGACATGCTGACCTCCATCTACCCCAACTTCAGGAGCGTCAACGTTGTTGATAAAGACAACGTCGAGTACCTACTCCCACTGGCTGCGAAGTACAAGCTGCTGTTTCTGATGGATACGTGTGAAACATTGATAATTGGAGCGGCACCTGGCATGAATGACTCTTACCACACATGCCAGATAGAAATAACAAATGAAGAATACAAACACGAGAATAAAGATCGTCTCATGCGGTATTTCGTGTTGGCGCATAAACATGAATTAGATGTAGTGAGGAAATGTTGTATGGACAAGTTAGTAAAATGCTCTTATAGCATACAGACCAATCATCAGACTAGAAGGAATCCAACACGACGCACTGCCGCCTTCCAGCAGCTCGACCCAACTACAAGATGGGAAATACTGAGAAATCGATTATTTTACCTGGAAGGTGAGTTATTGTTTCGTGCTTGACAATGAAAGTTGACTGGGCAGGTGTAGCTGACCCTGTTAGTGACTCAGTATTAGTAGTTACTGTGATGAAGAGACTATGTTGGTGCGATGATGAATATACTACATGTATTACTTATGCATGTTTGGGGCTAACTGGAGGGTCAACTGTATTCTGTAATGTATATATACCATCTTTTGACCCGGAAACGCCTCAGATAATGAATGTATACTAGTATTACATTAACGAGTGCAGTTTTTAATCTTGAAGTGAGCCAACAGTAGAGATTGATCCTTTTCACTCTTGCTCTAATCAATCAACTCAGCCACCTTGCTCAACGTCATGTCACGTGATGAAAAAGATCAACATTTTTGTTCCGGGCCACAACAATAAGCCCAAATACTAGAAATTAACTCGGTGTTTTTGTTTTGGCTGCACTCTCTTCACGTTTAAGCAGTTATCTGTTCTAGATTGCAAGCTTGTGATGCTTGGTTTGATATAGTGAGTCAGTATGGTTCTACGCCGCTTTTAGCAATATTCCAGCAATATCACGGCGGGGGACACCAGAAATGGGCTTCACACATTGTACCCATGTCAGGAATAGAACCCGGGTCTTCGGCCTGACGAGCGAACGCTTTAACCACTAGGCTACCTGACCGCCCCGGTTTGATAAAGAGTTCACATGAATGTACACGGGTTGTTCGATAACAAAGATGAAATTTGAATGACATTCCAACGCACGTATACACTCACTATTGTTAATTACGAAATATAATAATAATGTTGGATTGCCTGGATGCTAGTTATCAATGCACCTTTACCCTAATCATGTCAACGAAAACGTACAAGTATTCAGGAAAGTACATAATATATATACAGAAAAAAATGTCTCAGTGAGCAATGACAATGTACATATGTTTCTATGTCTCTTCTTTCATTTCTGTCATTTTATGTATTCATTGTAAATAATCATTTCTGTTAATCGATGGGAGATGGGAAAGTTTTGATCATTTGTGCTCAATCATTTTCATGTGGATAAAATAATATCAGTTTTACCTAAAAGCCAATATCTCTTTACTTAATCCGAGAATAATGGAACGTACTGTGTTTACAACTTGGAGCTAGCTTATCTGTAGATCGAACAGTGCTCAATTGAATTTGGAACCGAACGCGAAGCTATAGCCATTACTTGGAAACACCATCGACAACAATATCGACAGTCTGTGTTGAACTGTGGGACAAAGTAGACTCAATTTTTATGGATAACAACTTCTTTAATACTGTAAAGGCAAAAGAAAATACAAAACTGTGGGAGTTACAAATGTAATAGGGGCGGTGGGGTAGCCTGGTGGTTAAAGCGTTCGCTCGTCACGCCAAACACCCGGGTTCGATTCCCCACATTGGTACAATGTGTCAAGACCATTTCTGGTTTCCCCCGCCGTGATATTGCCGGGATAGTGCTTAAAGCGGCGTAAACAATATTCACCCACTCACTCACTACAAATGTAATATTTAGCTCAAAGATCACAACGAAGCATGTTGTCATGACGTTTCTTTCTCCATCCTCCAGGTAGCTACGGTAAAGTGACTGACAAATTGGAAGACCTTTGAGGACGTGAGACATCTTGTGGCTACTTACAGTTCTTGTTAATCTGCACACAATATGGCAACGGCTCCCCCAACGTAGATATAATATATTCATTCGCTACCATAGTTTCGTTTTCAGACGGATTCGAAAAGCTCGACGCTAAAAACAGCCCTCCAATAAAATTAATGTCGCGAGCGAGATAAACTCGGTGCAAAGTCAGAGAAGGGAACGTTGGAGGTGGTGACGTCACTTCCGAAACGATACTGTGATCGCGAATAGGTCCACGTTATGTATGACAATGGACCGGAGATGTCATACACTGGATAATCGAGTATATGTTCATTGATTCTATATATAATCTGTGCTGCGGGATGATTTTCAATTCTTGTCATCGCCGCCCTCTCTAGGCTAGGACGTGCTACGTGTTATATACACATGCACAGACTTGTCACAAGAATGTGCCTAGATAGACTGCATACGTACATTTTCGAGAGGATTGTGTATATATACTTTAATGACTCCCATTACGAAATCAAGACGCTGGTAATATTTGTGTCTTTGTGTTGATGCTTGCCCTCTTCCATATTTCCCCTATACTGCTACAGTTACTCGTTACTAACAAACTTAAGAAAGGTCACCTTGAAACGGCATAATGCCATAATAGTAATGACTGAAACTTAACATATATACCTTTACAAGCTGCTTATCTTCAGTTATATCACAGGCCTATATGACAAGTCCGTGGTTATGTCTAAACTTAAGGTGACAATTTACTATATGTTTTGATGAAGTCTCGTTTTATGCAGAGAGTAGCATGACAAATGCCTATTTTGGTGAAATAGGCATCTAAAATATAATTTTATCAAACACTTAATTAGGTTTTTTAGATGGTCACGTACTTCCCGAGTCACGTTCAAAAATAACCCTTTTTTTTAAATAGGAAGGGACATAAAACAAAATAAGAACTGTACTCAAAATGAGCTGTTGTACAGTCTCCTCCAATGATTCGGAGCACAGTGAAAATTACTGTACTCGCTGATCTACTGTTTATGTAAGGTGTTTTACAGAGCAAAACACTTTAAATTGATTTGGATGCATTGACTCTTTTGTCATCAAAGTAAGCCTTGTGTGTTTAGTTTGAAGCATTCTAATCAACATAAAGATCCATCGTTTAGGTACAATGCCAGGAGAAATGTCTCTAGTCGTTTCCAATGGGTTGTTAGTTCCAGTATCTTTAATACCTTGTTCAGAAGCGGGTCGTAATTACCACGAGAAGCTGTTCCAGCTGTTGCCTTATTTTTTAATCCACCCATGAATCGTTATAAATGACCATGATACAATTAATGACTTGATATATGTTAACTTCTTAACTGACTGCGGCGTTAACCAACAATTAAACAAACAAACAAATCACACCACGTGCTTTGAAAACGCTCCACATCAGAAATACGGCTTCCCATCAGTCTTTTCAGGCTGTACAGTAGTTAAGCCCATTTCTGGTGTCCCCCGCCGTGATATTGCTGGAATATTGCTAAAAGCGGCGTAAAACCATACTCACTCACTCACTGTACAGTAGTCTGTCATACAGACCCTGAAACTAATATATCCAATACAGCCAATGCAAGTCTATCATGTTTGGCAAATCTAGATTACTCTGGGCTCCTTTTTATTTTATTTTTAAATATTATTTAACAACTGTTTTTTTCTTCTGTAAACTATGTTCATTTCAGAGACTAGATGTTAGTCTAGCTGTATAGCTTCCAATGAGAAAACATTTCTCTGGGCTGCGGTGGAGCGTGACGCGGTGCACGTGGAGTTTATGCTCTTGCTATTCGTCAGTATCTCATGTGAACTCGACACATGCGCAGTAGTGAACTGATAGTAAAGGACAATCCGCCTTCCAATCCACTTCACGGATTATGAAATCCGCCGGTTCAATACTCTTTTTTTCTGTTTTCTCTCTCTTCGTATTGTTTTTATAATCACAAATAAACAAATATCTTGTGATCTTGTATTTTGACGAATACCCTACGCAATCGGATGGAATAATTTAGATATCTGTGAGTTGTCGTTGTATTTCCCTATCTGTGACAGACAGACAGACAATACTTTATTTGCGTCTCACCCATAAGGTACATTGTACAATATACATATAAAATCAAAACACGCGTAAAACTAGTAGCGGCCAGTTTTCTAATTTTAATGGGGCTACCCCGCATCTAAATTTAGCAAGCGCACTTCTGTGGCAACGACTCAGTGGTTTCTTAACGTAATCCTCCGTATCGTAATGGTGTTTGAAACGCCTGTAGGTTCTCAGTTTATTTCTTCCCCTCGCCCCTTGTATTGACTGTAGCTTGTCCCACCACTTTGTTTTATACTCTGACATCAGTCTTTCTCTTACTGCTGCAGCAAGGGGCCTCGGCTCATTGTGTGAGCTAGTAGATGTTAAGTGCCCAAGGTCTATTTTCTCGAGACACTGGAGTTCCAGTTTTTCTTGAACTTGCTGGCCCATAAAAATATCTTCTTAGTGACTCTCCTGTTTGGCGTGTTGACAAGTCTGGCCCAGTGCCTTGAAACTGTGGCCCACGATCTGACACAAGGTGGGATCCAGCCAACCTCCCCATTTATTGCAACATTTGGTGCGTATTTCCCCAGTCCAAGAAAGAAGCGGATAGCACGGTGGTGAACAGCTTTTATCGTCGAATATTCTGTCGTGCCCAATATTGCGGAACCATAGTCCAGACGAGACCAAAGCATTGTGTCGTAAAGTTTGCTAAATACTTTAAATGGCATACCGCCAAGGCTTTTGTACTTTAAGATTAAAAGACCAAGGGCTCTACATCCTGATTTTGCTGCACATTTGGCCATAGAGTTAAAATCTTAATGTTCTGTTAAAAACACACTCAGATAGTTATAAGAATCTGCGACTTCTAACACAAGTTCATCACAGTAGAAAAAACCCGAAGTCCTGGCAATACTAGCACCCATGAAGTGAACAATCTTGGACTTATCTGCGTTTATATTCATTTTATTACCCTTACACCACCCGCTAAGAAATGTATAAAACCTATCTCGCCATTGAAACGGAAAACGTAGGGCAATTCACACAAAGTGATCATCGCGACTGCAGCAAGTCTATTTGAAGCAGGGGTCCATGGACGTTTCTCAGACGTTTACCACTTTCGTGAAACCCACGAGCCCGGGTATGGTGCTGACAAACCTACAAACAAAACCAGGGTGAACTTGGATTAGAAAACAAGAGACCTTGACATCCCACCCCCACCAAGCCAATCAAACCAAAGCAGGAAAACACTACAGTGTAAAATGTACAATTAAGTTATAATATACACATTATATTAGAGATTTTGTTTTTATTACTCTGGTCAGATATGTATGTTTATTCCACTATGTT